ATCATGACCTGAGCCCAAGTGGGATGCATAACCGACTGAGCCACCCAAGCGCCACCCCACTGGATTTAAAAAGTCCATCAAAGACGTTACAAAGCTGTGAATGCTAGGAAGGAGGGGAGGTTGTGAGCAGGTTCAATGGGGGTGAACCCTCTGTGGGGGTAAGCCATCTGTGGGTAGACCTGAAAGATGAGTGGAGGTTAAGCAGGCTAAGTCCTCCACCTCTGACTGGCCGTGGGCGTAAACATAACATCCAAAGGGGGAGCCTTGGGGTTTGGGGCTTGTCACCCTGCCTTCTCCCACTACTCCCGTGGTCAGCATGACTCAGTAAGCACTTTCCAAAGCCCAGCCTGCAGGCAGGGTTATCTGTAGTCTGTGTATATGGACTTCCTGAAGCTTGGAGGGAGAGGGCCTGCCCAGGGGAGATAAGGACAGGTCTGGACAGGTCTGTTTATCCCAAAACAAAAGAGGAGGCAGAGTCCAGATCCAGAGCAAATCCCAGGAACTGGAATCCTTTTCCAGTCCCTCAACAAGGAGGGTTGTTACTATTACCCCATCAGACACTGTGTTAAGCACTTTGTGCTTGGCTTCTTGTATAACTCTCAGGAAACTTCTGAAGCAGGTACTAGAAGGGCCAGGGCCCCTGAGTGACCTGGTGTCAGAAGCCAGAGCCCTAAGTCATAAGACCTCTTCACTCTCAATTAGGCAGCACTCTATAACATGCGTTTCCATGTAGCATTTAACTTTTCACAACAACACAATGCCGAAAGCATCGAGAGCCTTTTTAAAGGGAAGAATCCAAGCCTTAGTAAGATAATCGCTAAAGGTAAATCCCAAACCCATGTTCCCTGACTCACCAACAATATTTACACGAGCTAGGCTCTATTCTAGGTGCACAGTGAACAAAATATAGCAGTGATCAAAACAGATAAGTACACTGTCCCTCATGGACCTTACATTCTAGTCTGGCAGACGGGCAGTAATAAGTAAGTACATACATAGCACCTTGGATGATGGTAAGTGGAGATGGGGAGTACTGGAGGAGAAAGGTGGAGGTGTGCTCTTTAATAGGCAGGTGAGCAAAGACCTGAAGGAAGTGAAGACATGGAGCTGTGAAAATATCTGGGGGGATGAATTCCAGGTAGAAGGGAAAGTAAATGCAAAGGCCCTGAGGTCAGAGTGTGTTTGGCGTGTTCAAGGAAAAGCAGAGGTCAGTGTAGTGAGAACTGAAGATGGTAGAAGGTGGGATTGGGTCAAGGTCATGGGGGGCCTTGGAAAGAATTTGGCTTTTACCCCAAGTGAGACGGGGAGTCACAGGAGGGCTTTGAACAAAGACTGGTCTGACTGCTCTAGAAGAGAAGACAGGAGTGGGCAAGGGTGGAAGCTAGGAGCTCAGTGAGCAGGCTCGGTGCAGGATTCTGGTGGAGTGACAGTAGCTTGTACCACAGTGCCGGCATCGGAAGGGTGGTGAGGGTCAGATTTGGTATCAGACTTGAAGAAAAAACTGTCAGATGTGCTGACAGATCCTGTGCGGAAATATGAGAGAAGGGAGTGAAGAATGACACTTAGGGTTTTTGACCCCATTCCACACCGTCCCATCTTCTTCGTTGGACAGTGTGCGAAGCCAGTGCCCAGACTGGGGAAAATATTTGCACAGGGTCATTCAGTGGGTTGACGGAAGAACAAGACCAGGCTGCTGACCTTCCTCCCTTTACCATCCTACCCTGCTCAGGAGTCAAACCTGAGCTTCCAGAAAGAAAAGAAAACCCACAGGTATACTTTATGCTGTGTCTGAAAGTAAGAAAAAAATAAGTTAGGGTTTCAAGCGAAGAAACATTTATTGAGTACCTACTGTCGGGGTAATTGTGGTCCCCACACTCAGGTAGCTCAGAACCTGAATACCTGTGTCCCAGGGAATGAGAAGCTAATTGCTTATTGGAACTCAAAGAAGAAATAGAACTTATCTGACCAGAAAGAAATTCCTTTGGGCACTGGAGAGGAGGTGAGATAGTTTTTTCTCCCATTAAAATAAAAGGAGGGAAAAAAGTATATATAGGGAGTGTTCCTCCCCTACCCCCACCCCCACACCTACCCCCATTAAAAAATATAAAGATCTAGAACAGGCAATCGGTGGTGGTGGAAAAACTTAGAACACCAATTATCTCTGTAGTAGTTGGGGCACAGATTGCCTGGAAAGGACAAAAGAACTTTCCAGGGTGATGATGATGTTCTGTATCTTTTTAAAAAAATTTTTTAATGCTTATTTATTTTTGACACAGCAACAGAGCGTGAGTAGGGGAGGGGCAGAGAGAGAGGGAAACACAGAATCCGAAGCAGGCTCCAGGCTCTGAGTTATCAGCCCAGAGCCTGATACGGGGCTAAAACTCATGAACTGTGAGATCATGACACGAGCCGAAGTTGGATGCTTAACCAACTGAGCCACTCAGGCGCCCTGATGTTCTGTATCTTGATAGCGGTTTGAGTTACACAAGCACGCACGTGTGTGTATGTGCATTTGAGTGTTCAGCAAATGTACACTTAAGATTTGTTCCTGTCTTTTACGCAAATTTTACATTGAAGACAAAAAAGTGTAAACGAATGTTACTCTAGTTAATGATATGCATTTTGAAATGTTTAGAAAGAAGTGTACTGATGTCTGCTTTGAAATGCTTCAAAAAGTAAGATGGATGGATGGATAAGATGTTAATAGCAAAATCTGGGTGGTAGGTAAAAGGGTGTTCCCCATAAATTCTTTCAACTTTGCTGAATGTTAGAATATTTTCCATAACAAAATATTGGAAAAGTATACAAGTAATAAATTGTTCTATAGTCATTTTGGTATAACTGAATAGTAACTGTAAAACTAGAGATACAGGGGTGCCTAGGTGGCTCAGTCAGCTAAGCATCCAACTTCGGCTCAGGTCATGATCTCACAGTCCGTAGGTTCAAGCCCTGTGTCAGGCTCTGTGCTGACAGCTCAGCGCCTGGAGCCCGCTTCAGATTCTGTGTCTCCCTCTCTCTCTGACCCTCCCCTGCTCGCGCTTTCTTTCAAAAGTAAATTAAAAAAAAAAAAAGAACTAGAAATGCATATACAGATGAGGAAGAAACGTAAGGAATGTTCTTGGTAACCAGGATTGTAATGGGAAAAACTTGTAGACAAATGAATTGTCTGTTAGCAGGATTAACTGTGAGATAAACTGCAGTCTGTTCATACTGTGGGAGTCTGTCAAGCTGTTAGAAAGAATGACAGAGTCATACATGTCGACGTGGACATTTTGTCTATCTGGGTTGGCCAAGGAAAGGACAAAATGTTACACACGTAAACATAACGTGGCCTCAACCCTACCTCCAGGACTTTGGGTTTTGCACCTGTGTCAGAGTGACCTGTGTCGGGGTTTTAAGCAGAGGCCTGAGGGCACTGGAGTGGGAAGACAAAGGAGACCTTGTAATGTAAGATCCTTTAGGCATCTGCCTGGGAGTGGCAGACGAGGACTTCAGGCGGAACCCTGTAACCTGGAAGGTGGAAAGAGGTTTCTCGGAGGCCCTGAGAACGGAACTGGGGTGGGTGCTGGGGCCTAAAACTTGTAAAAGGTGAACATGGCCTGGTTACTGGGCACCTGTGTTTCCCTGTCACCATCTCCAGCACCAGCCCAGCTGATGTGTCTTCAGGAAGATCTCCAGGCTCAAGTGTGCACCAGTGTGCAGGATGACAACATGGGGGGCTGCGTCGTGCCTTTCTCCACTCACCAGACCACTTCTTACAGGTGAAGAACGTAAAGCTCAGCCAGGCGAGGTTGCTCTCCTGGGTAACAAGTGGCAAAGCAAGACTTATTCAAAGAACTTCCAAAATTTAGAAACTGATCGAGTAAGGATGGTTTATTTCATGATCATCACAAAAAATGGAGGGACTTTCTCTCGAAAGTAAGGCATGCTATCTGTTTGACGGCTCAGGATGGGGAAAGCAATCAATGGTTCAGACCCTGGGACCCAAGTCAAAAGCCAAAGACAGATCATGGACTATTTTGCAGTGGGGCCTCTTCTCGAAAGGGCCATTCTGAGGGGTGTGTTTCAGGGCCGTGGTGGGCAATTGTGCCGTGTTTTCTTTCCTTTTCTTTTTTTAAAAGATTGTGTGTGTGTATGTATGTATGTACGTACGTACGTACATATGTAATCTCTTTAGCCAATATGCAGCTCCAGCTCAATAATTCCAACATCAGAGTCACATGCTCTTCTGACTGAGCCAGACAGGTGGTCCAGGGCTGTGTTTTCCTAATGATGTCTCCTACCTTTAAAAAAAAATCATCTCCTTAGACAATTTGGGGGAAGCAAATTAAGAGTAATATTGTTATCACTATGAATAATAATGATAATAAATAACTTGAGCATTCATTCATTGGATGTCTGGAGAAACTGGGATAAAATATTATCTATAGGTACAGAAACTTGCAGAATAAAGGGAGGGCTTTTTTTTGCCTTCTGTTAGGTACCATTGTGCTAGACAGGATGCAAAATGCTCTATTTACATCCTATCACATTACTAATCTGTCTGCTGAAAACCCTCCAATGACTTCATTGCTTCAGGTCTCGTGATCTGGCCCTGCCCTCTTCACCAGATCTTTCTTTCCCGCCGCTGGCTCTGGCCACACGCGCTGCCTCTCAGTTCCTACCTACTTCCAGGACCTTAGCAAGTGCTATTCCTGCTGCCCAGGACACACGCATTTCCCCCCACCCTGCAGCCTGCATCTTCTCAGAGCTCTGTTGGACCATCACTTTCTCAGGGAAGACTTCTCAGGCCCCAGGACCTAAGCCGTTTCCTCTTACTAGCATTTAACACAATTGTACCGTCATAATTGTTCATGAGACAGATTGAACTAGTGTCTGTTTCCCTACTCGGTTGTGAGCCCCAGGAGGGCAGAACCAGGACTGAGTCTTTTTTTGTTGTCTGCTTTTATCCCCAGCCCTTAACCACCCCTCCTGGCATGTAGCTCAATATATTCGATAGATACCTACATCCTCCTCCACCAAGCATCTTCCTCAGTGACAGCAGCAAGGAAAGCGCCGCTTCTGTAGGGGATGGAGAGAGAGAGAGAAAGAGAGAGAGATGCAGGACAAAGAAGAAGGGTGGCTACTTCCTACCCTAACTTTCATGCCCACCCCAGGGCATTTTTCTGTTTTGAAGGAGGGAAAGGAGGAGGGCATGGAAGATAACCAGGAGCAAAGCCTCAGGATAGAGTTTCCTTGGCTGAGATGAAGCTGGCAGACTCACTTCCCCGGGGCAAAGGAAAGTCACTGGGGTTGTGCAGGGAGAGAGGGGCCCTTAGGGAGACATAGGACCCTTCTCCTGCTCATCAGTGCCACCTCATAGGCATCATGCTAAACTTTTTACAGGGTAGCAAAGTGGTTAAGACCACAGCTTAGAACTTAGTCTCGGCTCTCAGCAGTCCCTGGCAGTATGACCTGGAATAATTACTCTGCCTCTGTGGTCCTCAGTTTCCCCGTGTGTTAGATGGAGATAACACTCCTTTCTACTTTGTAAAGGGGCCACAAGAATCAGTGTGTAATAATATGTGTAAAACGCTCAGCCCAGAGCTGGCACATGGTTATTCTCTTGGTGGCTGCTACTAACATGCTTAGTTAATAACAACGAATGAATAATACTTGCCCAGACTCTGTGTACCTGTCTAGGCAGGTATATTTAAAGCAAATATTTCAATGGCCCACTTTTAGGTTTGAAAAGGCATAAAAGAATTCCTTCTGTGGTCGACTGGGGCAGAGAGAAGTCTGGGTGTTCCAACTGAAAACGAAAGGTGGAACCCACTTTGCAAATGAACGTGGCCTTTAATGACACTACAATTAAGACTGAGTCGTTCACAATAGCGTTCTTTCACATACCTGGGCACAGAGAATGTGCGCAGTCACTCCAGGAAGTACTCATCACTATTATTATTATTATTCCAATCAGACTGGGAGTTGACTGAAGCTCAAACTCCTTAGCATAGTACACGTGGGGGGGGGGTCCCCACAGAGTGGGGGTTGAGCTGGGAGTCTAGTTCCAGCTCTGCCACCAACCAGTTATGGCTTTCAGGCAAACCTCCTTACCTTGCACAGCCTCAGTTTCCTCAACTGTAAAATGGAGCTCATCATATTAGCCACTGCTTGTAGATCCAGTGGTGAACTCGGTTTGCCTCAGCAACCTGGAGCCCAAGGGACAGGGTTATGTGATGCTGGGGGGGCAGGGGGGCGGTAGGCAGTGAAAGCTTTCTTCTCTGCACCTGCCAAGAGCTGGGACAGCAGGGGAGAAGAGCAGCATGCATGCACTACTAATGACAATATATTTTGAGGGGGCGCCTGGGTGGCTCGGTCTGTTAAGTGTGATTTCGGTTCAGGTCATGAACCCATGGGTTTGTGGGTTTGAACGCCACCTCAGGCTCTCTGCTGTCAGCGTGGAGCCAACTTTGGATCCTCTGCCTCCCTCTCTCTGCCTCTCCCACCCTCTCAAAAATAGAAATAAACATTAAAAAAAGTGTATTTTTTAAATTTACAAAACATATGTATAGTTGTTATGCCCTATATGTATTAACTCATATGATTCTCACAACAATCCTATGAAGCAAGTGCTCTCATTACCTCCACTTTGTAGATGATGAAATCGAGGCATAGAGAGATGAAGTCACTTGCTCATAAAAATACCTACTCCCTGTGAAAAACCTATTATGCAACAAGCACAGTGCTTAGCACTTTGTGTGTTATTAGAAACTTGTAGCTGCTCTGAAAGTTGAGAAAACGATGGTAGAATTCAACACAAACACAATACTTAAACACAACCTAGGTGGAAGTCCATCAATATGTCATTAGCATGATGTCATGAAAGGGGTATGTATTTATGTGTGTTATTTAAAAAAAATTGTATTTAAATAACCCCTACACCCAACGTGGGGCTTGACCTCAAGACCCTGAGGTCTAGAGTCACTCGCTCTACCCACAGAGCCAGACAGGTGCCTATATGGGGTTTATTTTTTATTTTTTAATTTAAATCAATCAATCAATTAATTAATTTCTGAGAAAGAAATAGAGAGAGCGCATGAGTGAGTGAGGGGCAGAGAGAGAGGAAGAAAGAGAGAATCCCACAAGGGGCAGAGAGAGAGAGAGGGAGAGGGAGAAAGAGAATACCACACAGGCTCTGCACAGTGTGGAGCCCGGAGCCAGACAGGACCTTACCACCTGAGCTGAAGTTGGATCATTTTTTTTAACGTAAATTTGGCATGCCTGGTTCATTTTTTTAACGTTAATTTGGGGGGGGGGGCGCGTCTTTTTATTTGTATAATCCCTAGTTTAGAGAAGAGTTATAAGACTAGTACAAGGAACTCATGAATGAATGTCTTAGCCAGATTTTTCACTTGTTTACATTTCGCTCCATTTGCTTTACAGGCTCCCTCTCCCATGTATAAGCATATTATTGTTTCTGAACCACCTAAGAGCAAATTGGTGATGTTGTGCCCCTTTACCTCTGAATACTTTAGTGTTTATTTCCTAAGAGCAAGGACATTCCCTTATCTATGTGTTTTTTCAGATGACGAAACAAATGACCTTTAATCACAGAATTTTTGTTGTTTCCTTATAAACATCGATTACCATCATGAGTATGATTGTGATTTGTTACGAGAAATTTTTGTTTTTACTTGTTAATCATTTTTAAAGATTTTATTTTTATTACTATTTTTAAATATTTTTAAAAAGTTTATTTATTTATTTTGAGAGAGAGAGAGAGCAAGTGAGCAGGGGAGGCAGGGGTGGGACAGAGAGAGGGAGGTGGAGAGAGAATCCAAAGCAAGCTCTGCGCTGATGCTGTCAGCGTGGAGCCTGACGTAGGGCTTGAACTCACAAATCATGAGATCACAACCCCAGCTGAAATCAAGAGTCTGTTACTTAACCAACTGAGCCACCCAGGGCCCCCTTAAAGCTGAGCCAGCCAGGTGCCCCAGCTACGTGGTTTTTTAAACATCAAAAAACAAAATCTTGGGGAGTCTGGAGGAAGAAAGAAAAATCTTTCATAAAAATATTTCACTGGGGACTGGAGCCTTGTCTGCCCAACTGGGTAATCCAGAATCAGTGTGTTCATTTGAGGTCATTCAATGGCCCCGGTGCCAATGAAGTATTCTCTCTCTTTGGCTGAGGAAACCGAGGCTCAGAGAGACCAGGTGATTTATCAGATTCATGCAACTTTGGAGGCAGGATTCAAACCAGTGTCTGATAAAAATCCTTTTCTAGGACATGTGGGTCCGTCCTAGAGAATGAGTGCTGGAGCAGGGGGTGTGGCGTGGGAGATGTAGATGGCATGCCCTGCCAGTGAGAGGAACGCTGGACATAGTCAGGGGATCTGGGTATCAGCCCAGACCACAGTGTCACTCCACATTCATGCGGCCAAGGCCAAGGCAGACTCTCTGAACTCCCCTTCAAATCCACATTATGTGAGCCTTTCTCGTTTAGGTAAGTACACCACCCTTCACCCAGGTGCTCAGGCCAAAATTCTAGGGGCCATCCTTGATGCCATCCTTTCCTCTACCCCCTGGAGCCACCAGCATTACTTGGCTCAATCTCCACAATCTATCCAAAATTCACTTCTCTGCACCTCTTCTGCTCCCACCATGGTCATGTGTGAGCAGGGGAGGGTCAGAGAGAGAGGGAGATACAGAATCTGAAACAGGCTCCAGGCTCTGAGCTAGCTGTCAGCACAGAGCCTGACGCAGGGCTCAAACCCACGAACCGTGAGATCATGACCTGAGCCGAAGTCCGACGCTTAACCGACTGAGCCACCCAGGCACCCCCATCCTCAGTTTCTAGACGAGGTTTCTTCCCTGTCCATCTCCCCACCTGGATCTGTTTTAAACATCTGAGTCCAGATCATGGCTCAAATGGTGACATCCAATAACCCTGCCATGGCTCACTAGGTCCTACAAGACCTGGCCCCCTCCTCACTCTCTCTGGTCACACTGGTGTCCTGGCTGTCCCTACCAAAGCCATCCACAAGCTGGATCCTGACCTAGGTCTTCCCCAGGCTACATCAGTCTTGTCTCCATTTTATCTCCTTCCCAGATTGACTCACTCTGATATTCTCTCATTTGCTTATTTGTGTTCATGTTCTGATACTCTCTACTCAGCAGGTAAGCTAGGGGCTTTCCTGTCTCAATTCCTAGCCAGCCGCCTGCCACATAGCAGGTGCTCGGTCAAGGTCAGGCTGCCTGGCTGACCCACTGCGCACAAGTCCATCTCTTCTCTGGGCCTCAGTCCCGTCATCTGAGATGGTGCCCCTGACTCTCCTTGCCCTGACTCCTCATGGAGTGGCTGTGAAGTTCAAATGAGGTGGTAAACATGACCCATGAACTTTGCAAATTATAAAGTGCTGTGCCGTAGGGTGACACCATGCCATTGCTCTTTCATCCGTTCTGGCACTCACCTTCCTTTCCAAATGATAGGACTCAACACTTGCTCATTCAGACCCTCTCCTTTCCTCCCCACCCCCCCGAGTTAGGGAGTCTGCTTTGGCCAAAAATGTCTGCATGTCCCAGAAGACTCACCCCTTTGGCATCTAAACTAGGCCTCCCAGACATTTCTGATGGTACAGACATCTTTTGCCACGTGGCAGATCTTGGTTTATGGATCAGAAAATAGGCCCAACAGCCCTCCCCAAAGGCCCACCAGCTTATATATTTCTTTCCTCTAAAAGCATACCTCAGATGGGGGACAAGCCCCACGTCCTTTGAGAGATCGCATTCTTCCTACACAAACTGACTGGAACTCAATTTTGGATGTTTGTGCTAGAGGCCAAGAAGATCTTGCTGCTCCTTCACAGGAGGCTCTCCCATTTCACTTTCATGTTTCCTTAACCTCCATCCAGGTTCCTAGGTCGGACAAGATCCAATCGGTTTAGAAAGGTTTGCAGCTTCTAGAGAAGTTGTCATTTAGTAATTTGCAAAGGCCCGGTGAGAGATGAAGGGAGAAAGCTGTGGTTTTACTTAGAGATCTGGAGCCCCAGCGGCAGGAAACCTGTGTCCATTCATTCATTCAACAAACTCCTATTGAATGCCTCCTGTGGGCACTAGAAACACAGCTTGGAGCAAGATAGATGTGGTTTCTGCCCTTGTGGAGGATAGTTTATAGCCTATGTGTAACAAAGGGAAAAAAAAACAAGAAAAAGAAAGATGTAAACAAGGAAGTATGTGAAGCAATGTCAAAGAGCTCTCAGTGCTATCCCGGGAATGAAATAGGAAAGATGGAGAAAGGAGACTGTTAGGTGGGGCGATCAGTGGCGTGAGAGCAGAGAAGTCTTTCTAGAAGGTGATCTTTTGGGAGAGAACGGAAGGGTGAAAGACTGGCCATGTAGAGATCTCTGGACAAGGAATGTCCAGGAACTTGCTTTAGGCGTTTCAGAGCAAAGTGGTGAGAAGTCTGCCTAAAGTGGGGTGTGTGGGGGGGGGGAGGATAGGAAATGGGGGGGAGGCAGGCAGGAGCCAGCTCCTATAGGGCCTTGCAGGCCATCATGTTATCATCCATTTGTTCATTCATTCATTCATTCAACGCATATTTATTAAGCATCTACTGTGTGCTAAGATACCCGGAGACCCTGCCTCCATAGCGTAATGTATGGAGAGGCACACACAATAAGCAAATAAATGAATGTATGAACATAAATACCAGGTACGATAATACTAGGAAGTACTGTTTCCCTCAAGTTCAACGCCCTTTAAGGGCAGGCACAGTGGAAACCTAAGAGTGGGGCTTCTCCTTCTGCGGGTGAGGCCGGCGGGGCCAGAGAACCCAGGTAGCCAAGGACCTGACGGCCTTCCCGGTCTGCTCTCCTTTCCCCTCCCCTCAAGATGGCTGACAAAGGCCCAGCAGGGTGGGAGGAAGGGAGGACTGATCCGAGGGTCCAGAGGGGATGACTGACTGGCGGGGGCAAAGCAGCGCCCTGGTGGCATTGGGGCTGAGGTGGGGGTAGAGGGAAGATTCAACCGCTGTGTGACTCCAGTGGGGGTGCTTCCCTCTCTGGGCCCCGCATCCAGACCTGTGCGTACCAGTTTGCGGTAGCGGGGGGGGGCGGGGAAACAGGGTCCCGGGTGGAGTCCCGGAGTTGGGGGGCATGTCTGCGAGCTCCCCATCGGGGCCGGTTCGAGCGGTGGGTAATTTAACAGGCCGGGGGGTGGGGTGGGGGAGACAGGAGGCGGTGCCTGTGGAGGAGGGGCGGAGGGGAGGCTCCGGAGTGATTTCAAATTTCCCTCGTCCCCACCCCCGGCTCCCCCCGCTCTCGCCCGGGGCCTGCTCTGAGTGGCTGCGGCAGGGGCGCCCCCGGGCGGGGGCGGGGCGAGCGCCGGGCCGGGGTTACAAGGGGCCTCGGCACCGCCCCCTCCCCACCCACTCCAGCTGCCCGGTTCTGCCTGCGCTGCCTCCGCGCCGCAGCCGCCCCCCAGCCCCGCCGACCAGGCCCGCGTGGACGCTCCGAGCGCCCCCCGACGGACGCCACCGGCCCACTGGCAGGCCGGCGAGCGGGCGGCCGCCGCGCCCGGCCGGCAGCGCGGGGGTTAAGTGGCCCAAGTAAACGTAGCTCGGTGATCGGCGCCGGAGATTCGCAAGCCGAGCGCCCTGCGCGGCCGCCCGCCGGCCTCCCGCCAGCCTGTCCCGACCCGCGGTTCGACCGCGGAGCGGCGCCCGAGCCAGGCTCTCGGCAGGTGAGCGCCCCGTGGCCCGGGGGAGGCTCGCCAGTCCGGGGACTTCGGGGGCTGGGGGGGGGGAGGGACAACGGAGGGGTCCCGGGACTGGCAGAAGGGACTCTCTCCCCGGGACGTCCGGGGGAGCGGCTCCCATCCGGCTGGAGACCTGGCATGGCAGGGGAGGAGAGGACCACTGGACCACCTGGGACAAGAAGGAAAAATAGCGCGGGGTGGTGGTGATATGTCTTGCAGAGATACGGGTGGAAGGGATACTTTTGCTGTACTTCCCAGACACCGGGGAGAGGGGTTTGTCCCCAGGGAGGGAGATGGGGTGGCCTTCCTGGGGTCTACAGTGGAGGAGAGGACGTGCTTCTCCGGAATGAAGTGGACCAGAAGAGTGGTCCCTTGCTCATCGGGCGGGGGTGTCCTTACCTGGCCTCGGCTTCAGAGGTAGCCTCCTTAGGGGCGGGGGAAAGAGGAAAGAGTTCAGCCAGGAAGGTGGGCGTCGGTTCCTTAAAACTTGGACCGGTGGGTTTCGGGCGAAACCCGTTTTCCCCCTCCCAGGGATAGAAGAAAAGGAATGGATGTGGGTGCGGGCGAGCAGGTGGGCCAGGGTGTGTGCACCAGGGGGGTGGTCTACCGGGGCGAGGCACAGCGGGACAGCCGGGACGCCCTCGGGAGGGGCTGTCCTCTCCGTGCACACCTGGCCGGGGAGGAGCCGGGCTGGGGCGACGCCGCCCTGCCCCGGCCACGCTGCCTGCCCTGGGGGCTCACTTTCCATTTTCCCCCTCTTCCGGGGTGAAGCTGGTCCCACTTCCCAAACTCCACAGACTGAGGTCTCAAAACCTTTAGCACCTTCCAGAATACCCACTTCCCTGCTTGTGTGATTGTTCGAGGAGGGAGAGTGGGTGTTGAGTCCCACTTCGTTGGAGAGAAAGTGGAAACCAGGAAAGACTGCGGGGTGGACTTAGCAAGTTAGCAACAGGGAGCCGCTCTTCGGCTCGGGCTTCCCTGCTGGGTTTACTCACCTGTGGCAAAGAAGGGCAGCCTTTCTGGGCCCAACCCCAGGCCTGTGCCTCCAGCCTGCCTTTTCCCCATATTCTCTGGCCTGAGACTGGACTCTTGAGCTTCCCCATCTCCCCACTTCCCTCGCGGCTTCCCCCTGCGCTTCTATGCATCCCACCTCCTGCACTCCCCGCCCACCCCCACCCCCCTCCCAGCTGAGAGAGTGCATGCATTTAACCGAATTATGGGCAGTGTGGATTTGGACCACTTCCTGATTTCTGGATGCTGTGGTTTAGACTGGCGGAAATTTTCCCGAGGAGGGATAACCCTTCTGCCGCCCTCAGGCGGAGGGCTCAGGACACTGACCTACCCTTGCCCTCTTCCTCAACACCTGCTGTGGCTTCTTGCACCCCCACCAATAGATTCCAAGACGGATCCGATTTTTCCAGGGTTGAAATGATGCTACCTATTTTATAGGACTGGTATGCAGGAATTACTCGTAGGTAGCATGTGGGGTAAGCTGGCTGCCCTCTTTAGCAGCACACATAGGTCTTTGGCATGCGTTTAAAATTGTCCGAGCAACTCCAGTTCCCTCTGTGCCTTAGTTATTACATCTGTGAAATAGGAACAGTCTTACTAATAACCCCAGGTTGTGTAAGAACGAAACCAGTTTTATGCATGATTTAACCTTTAACCCTCTATGTTCCTTAGCTGCCTGATGGGTGTCAATAGCTCCTTCCACATTGGGCTTGGAGAAAGGGCTTGATGGGATAGCAGGTGATGAATGTTGACATCTGTAATAGTTAACCAATAGCCCCTCTTTTTAGGGTAGCCATTGATGAGAAATGGGGATGAAGGGAGGGACCTCTGCTGGCCCTACCTATCCTGCCTTCCTCCAAGGTGCTCTATTCCTTTCAGCTAGGAAAGCTTTTCCAGATCATTGTCCTCAGATTGGGAGTTGGCAGGAAGGAACGCCTTTGTTCCCTCTGTAAGGAGCCAGGGTTTTCTTTGATGGGTTGGGGGACATTTTTACCCTTCGTCCCCCAAAAGCTTGAGGCCTACCTTGGAGGCATAATTGCAGAGCTAAGTGAGACCCTTTAACTTTCCTCTTTGGGGTAAAGAGGGCCAAGACAAAGGGGTTGGGGCTGAGTGCATTGTGCTCCTTAAAGCCACAGGCATCACCCGCCCCTCCTTCAAAAGCTGGAAGGGGAGGAGAGTATCTGGGAGCTGCAGGGGGTGAAAGGGAGGAGCAAGGGAGGTGGGGTTGGGGGAAGTTGCTTGCCTTCCTTTCCTTCCTCCAGCCACGTGGGGCATGCGACCCAATGGTGCCTGTCACCCCTCATTATTGCAGCCCCAGGGACAGTTAACGATTTGGGGTTTGAGCAAGTTCTTCCGAGAAAACTTAACCTTAGGATTCCTTTGTCTCAGACCAGCTCTCACGCAGGCTGTCCTGCTCAGACACCTTTTCCAAGGTGGTGCATTTTATTTTATTTTATTTTAATGTTTTTAATTTTATTTTTGAGAGAGAGAGGGACACCGGATCCAAAACAGGCTCTGCATGGCCAACGTGGAGCCCGATGCAGGGTTGGAACCCATCAACCTTGAGATCATGACCTGAGCCCAAGTGGGACTTAGCCGACCTGCCACGCAGGCACCCTGAGCTAGTCCATTTTAAATCTCTAACTCCTGGGTCCTATATCCTGACAAATGCCCCCAGTCTCCTCCAGCACTTGACAGGTACAGGGCCTCAGCTCTGGCTCATTCTTGTGAGTTTATTTTTTAATTGTGAATTCAGGTTGTTGGATCAGAGAAGTGCGGAATTAGTCATTTCATTTGCAGACCATCCTTTTCTTTGTAAAGTGATGGGCAGATTTGTCTAACTTCTTGTGGGGGCTGATCTCATCAGATCCCTTTTGTAGCTTTTGGGACCGAGTGGTTAGGGGCACTGACCCCTCTGCCTTCACACACTTGAAAATCCATGTATAACTTGACTACACCAAAACTTAATAGCCTACTGTTGATGGGAAACCTTACTGAAAATATAAACAGTCTGTTTGCATGTTACATGTATTATATAATTTATTCTTCCAATAATACCTAACTTTAAAATTTTTTTTCAGGGTACCTAGGTGGCTCAGTTGCTTAAGTGTTAGACTCTGGCTAGGTCATGATCTGCTGTCAGCACAGAGCCTGTTTTGGCTCCTCTGTCCCCCTTGCTGTCGTCCCCCACTAGTTCTCTCTGTCTTTCAAAATAAATAAACTTTAAAAATTTAATTTTTTTCCTCGTATTGCTAGGTTATGTAGTTGGTCTGTTTTTTTCAAATTGTCGCAAATCTCCAAACTTTTTTTCAATATATTGTAAAAAATCAGTATATATGACACCTGTAGTTCAAACCCACATTGTTCAGGGTCAACTGTATTGTAAAAAAGCCTGTTATCCATTGGGTTATATATATTATTAGTCTGAGGCAAGAAAGAGGCCTGGGCATTAGAATCAAGGCTGGATTTACATACCTATTCATTCCATTTTTAAGTCACTGGCTTGAGCCTCCATTTCTCCATCCGCAAAATAGTCCCAAGAATGGTTGGCCAATTGCAGGCAATGTTTAAATCAGTTGAGTTGCTATAGCTTAAAAAGTTGAGTGAATGTTGCATGTTGTGGGGGCCCCTGGCTGGCTCAGTTGGAAGAGCATGAGGCTCAACCTCCGTTTGTGAGATTAAGGCCCATGCTGGGTATAGAGATTAAACTTTTAAAAATGTTGCACATTAGGTAGTAAATACTCATACTGACAAGTGGTTATTCTTTACTTCAGGAGGGAAACACAGTCCCACTTCGCAGTCTCTCCTCAGGTTTCTTCCAGGGAATAAGCAAAGAATAAGGACGACCTGTTTTGTGTAGGGAATTGAACTATTTCAAAAAATGTTTGATACGTGTGAACATCCCATTTACTGTCTTCAGATGCCAAGAAGAAACTAGTCATCTATAATTTCACAATGCCAAAGGGAATCCATGTTTTGCTTTTATTTGGGGGGCCCCATGTCTGTAGATAGGACCAGGAGGCCTTTCTAAGAAAGGGACCTGGATCCAAGGAGTACAGAGTGGCAAGGAAAGGTGGCACTGTGGTCACCACTGGGGCTGGCTTTGCAAGCAGATGGAGAAGAGTTTTGGGAACAGATTCTCGGGAACCTACCACCATTGGCTTCTGCCTTTTTTTTTTTTTTTTTTTTTTTTTTTTAGCTCACCTGATCAAAGTTGCCTGTCACTTCACACTTCACTCACAGATTTTCATCCTATGTGGGCCCTGCCCTAGTGCAAACCCCTGCCTACCCTTCTCTCTGTCTGTCTGCTTAAGCTTTGTGACTCCGGGATCAAACTCAAATTTTCCAGAAAATTGTCTTTTATAGTCTTGGAAGTGTGTAGAGAGTGGTAGCCATTGAAAGACTACAGCAGATTTCAAAAATGACTGAGAATTGATGGGTGGGAGAGGGAACAGTTGTCTGTGGATAAAGGTTCTTAACCAATGTATTTCCATTTGGGGACCATTTGTTGACTAGGTGTAGGATGGGAGGAGGCCCGACGTGGTTGGGGGCTCCTAAGGTTGAGGGAATACATTTCTTGGATCATCACCTCCCTAGGTTTTTTTTTCCTCCTCATTTTATAATTCTTATAAAGTCTCCTGGCCTGGTGGAATTTCCTTTGACCCTTTGTTCTTAATGTTAATGTTCTGCTTCCTGGGAGATGTCCTCAGCTTCCAACCCCTAATATTTTAACTTTTGTCTTTCATGTTTTAAAGAATTCTTGTCCCAGAAATTCTATGTATAGTGACGTTCACATCCGTCTTTTATCTCCCTGAGAAGATTTTCTGTTTAGTGCTCCTTCCAATATTTCAGAGGATTTTTTTCTGTTTTGTTTCCTTCCCTTCCCTTCCCTTCCCTTCCCTTCCCTTCCCTTCCCTTCCCTTCCCTTCCCTTTCCTTTCCTTTCCTTTCCTTTCCTTTCCTTTCCTTTCCTTTTTTCTTTCTTTTCTGAGAGTGCAAGTGGGGAAGGGCCAGACAGAGGGGGACAGAGGATCTGAAGCGGGCTCTATGCTGATAGCAGTGAACCCCATGCGGGACTTGAACTCCAGAACCGCGAGATCATGACCTGAGCCGAAGCCGACTGAACCACCCAGGTGCCCCTACTGTTTTCATTTTTAATATTTCAGTTTTGAACCTGACCTTCATGATTGAGAAGGACCAAAATTGTCTTGAGAGTTGAACTGGAGCATTTCTCTCTCTGTGGGACAATGACTAGCACTTCCCTTTGTGTCTCCCAAAATGGGAACGATGTTCTCTGCTCTTGGGTCTGTCTTCCCTGGAGCAGAGGGATCTCCTAGTGCCCTGACTGAGAGGCGCAGGCAGGGCAGCAGGGAAAGCGTACTGGAGACTTCTCAGCCTCAGTCAGGAATCCTGTGGAACCCTCTGGGTGAGGAGGAGTGTGGCCTACAGAACAGACTGACTGGGGTGGGAGCTGGTATATCAGACTATTCCTTTCCCATCCACCCTGCAGCCCCACCTTCTGAGATTAATTGGGTCTATTCT